ACCTGGAGGCGCTCCCTCCTCACAGCAGCTGCGGGAGTGGTACTTGCAGTACTGCAGCCTCAGGAGGGGCGCTTCTGGAGCTAGGGGTGCTGCTGGAGCTGGTGCTCGTGGTTCCCCTCCTCGTCGGGAGCCGCCCTCTCCCCAGAGGCTCCGAGAGTGGTACGCTCGGCGCTGCAGTCTCCGGAGTGGTGCTACTGGTGTCGCGGACATTGGAGCTGGAGCGGGTACTGGTTCTGGTGCTACTGACGCTGGAGCTGCTGGAGGCACTGCTGGCGCTGGAGGCACTACTGCTCCTGGAGTTTCTGCTGGAGCTACTGGAGGTGCTGGAGCCTCTGGTCCTGGAGGTGCTCGTACAGGCGGTACTGGAGCTGCTGGGACTGGGGGTTCTGCTGGAGCTGGAGCTACTGGAGGTGCTGCTCGCGCTAGAGCTGCTGGTGGTGTTGCTGGAGGTGCTGCTGGTGCAGGTGCTACTGGAGGTGCTGGTGGTGCTGGTGCTGCTGGAGGTGCTGGTGGTGCTGGTGCTGCTGGAGGTGCTGGTGGTGCTGGTGCTGCTGGAGGTGCTGGTGGTGCTGGTGCTGCTGGAGGTGCTGCTGGTGCTGGAGCTGCTGGTGCTGCTGGAGGTGCTTCTGGTGCTGGAGGTGCTGGAGGTGCTGGAGCTGCTGGTGGTGCGGCGGGAGTTGTAGCTGGAGACCCTGGAGCTGAGGGCGCTGGTGCTGTCTCTGCTGGTTCAGGAGGAGCTGCGCGGCCGCGGCCGTACTACGTTCCGCTCCTTCAGCAGGTTCTTGGCCTCCCGCCCTCTCCTGGTCCTACTCCTCCCCTACCGAGTCCACCGCCTGTCCGGTCGCAGTCACAGTTACAGCCAGTCTCTCCACTGCCTGGTCCTTCTCCTTACACTGCGCCGACGAATAGCCTTACGGAGCGTCGTGAGCCTGAATCTCGTCCTCCGTCGCCTGAGTTGCGTCCAGAGTCGCCTGTCCGCGCTATCCGTGCTGGTCGTCGTGCTCCGCGTCAGCGTCCTCCTCCTGTCCTTGGCACTCACTATATGACCCTGCGTCCTTCCACTGCTCCACAGCGTGTCCCTCTGCCGTCTCCTCCAGCGTCCTCTCTTCCTGCTCTTGCTGACCCGGAGTCTGACTCTCTTCGTGCTGCCAGTCCTACTGTCACGCGTCTCCTCGCCACTGTTGTCACTAACCCTTCCTTTGAGTCCTCTACTGCGTCTGCTCTAGTCGCTGAGCTTGTTGACTTTGCTGCCGCTTGTCGTCTAGACTACGCCGCTAGCCTTGTTGCTGAGTCTGAGTCTGTCTGTCCTCCGTCCGTCGGGGGTGAGTGTGCTCTTGGCACGGACGTCCTTGAGGACAGACAGGAGGAGTTTGAGTGCTTTGCCGCTGCTTTACCTCATCTCGTGTCCATGCTGATTGCCCCTTAGGGAGACCCAGATGCACCAGACATCCCGACCCCGCGCTCTTACGCTGAGGCGATCGCGGGTGAGTACTCCTCTCAGTGGCAGTCAGCCATGGACGCAGAGATGGCTTCCTGGAAGTCCACAGGCACCTACGTCGACGGGGTTCCCCCACCTGGGGCGAACATCGTCAGTGGCATGTGGATTTTCAGGGTGAAGCGGCCGCCGGGTTCTCCGCCTGTCTTCAAGGCGCGTTACGTTGCACGAGGCTTCAGTCAGCGAGAGGGATTTGACTTCTTCCAGACCTTCTCCCCTACCCCGAAGATGACCACTCTTCGGGTTCTGCTGCACGTCGCCGCTCAGCGTGACTACGAGCTCCACTCTCTTGACTTCAGCACTGCGTTCCTACAGGGCAGCCTGCACGAGGAGATCTGGCTGCGCCGCCCACCTGGCTTCACTGGGTCGTTTCCTGCTGGTACCCAGTGGAGCCTCCGGCGGCCAGTCTACGGTCTCCGCCAGGCACCCCGTGAGTGGCACGACACACTGAGGACTACTCTTGCTGCTCTTGGGTTTGCTCCTTCTACTGCTGACCCGTCGCTGTTTCTACGCACCGACACCACTCTGCCGCCGTTCTACGTTCTCGTGTACGTAGACGACTTGGTCTTTGCTACTGCTGACACTAAGGCACTCGCCCACGTGAAGTCGGAGCTGCAGAAGAGACACACGTGCACAGACCTGGGTGAGCTGACAAGCTATCTTGGCTTGCGGATCACCCGGGACAGAGCACAGCGCACCATCACCTTGACTCAGTCACACATGGTGCAGCAGGTCCTTCAGCGCTTCCGCTTCACGTACTCCTCGCCTCAGCCCACTCCTCTGCCTACCGGTCACTCGCTCTCAGCTCTGCCTTCGGATGAGTCCGTAGAGCCGAGTGGCCCGTATCCAGAGCTTGTGGGCTGCCTCATGTACCTGATGACCTGCACTCGACCTGACCTTGCATACCCTCTTAGCATCCTAGCACGCTATGTCGCTCCTGGCCGTCACCGGAAGGAGCACATGGATGCCGCTAAGAGGGTGTTGCGCTACTTGTGCAGTACGTCGGGCATGGGGCTTGTGCTTGGAGGACGGACTCGGGTTGTCCTCACAGGGCACTCAGACGCCTCTTGGGCTGACGACCAGGCTACTCAGCGGTCGTCTCAGGGGTACACCTTCAGTCTTGGCTCTGGTTCAGTCTCTTGGCGTTCTACACGCTCGTCTTCAGTTCTCAGCTCCAGTTGTGAGGCTGAGATCTACGCCACAGCCATGGCTGCACAGGAGTTACGCTGGCTCACCTACCTGCTGACCGACCTGGGAGAGCGGCCTCGTTCTCCTCCAGTGCTGTACGTCGACAACAAGGCCGCCATTGCCTTGTGTCAGGAGCACAGACTGGAGCACAGAACGAAGCACATTTCTCTGCGCTACTTCCTTGCTCGAGAGTTGCAGCAGCGTGGTCAGCTTCGTCTTGCTTACGTGGCCACTCGGGCCAACACTGCTGATGTGTTCACCAAGGCGCTTCAGCCTTTTGATCATCAGCGTTTCTGTACTGTTCTAGGCCTTGTGCCTACTGTCCCTCACTTGCTGACTTCTTGACTCTGTTTGTACTGTGATCTCTATATATATACCTGCATGCTTACACTTGCTAGGTTGTGATCACTGTACCTCTTGTTCTATTGTCAAACTGCATGTGAACTGGTCTTGTGACCGCTTGCTTGTGCTCGGAATTTGTGTGGTATCCTTGAGATCCACCCTGAGCTTGCTTTGCTTTGTTTTGCTTTGACTGGTCTTGTGACCCCTAGCTCTCCCCCACTTTGCCTATGGGGGTGTGTCAAACATTATATGTGTTATAGTTTGTAGGCTACAGTTGGGTTAGCCTCTAGGGGGTACATAGCTCTAGTGTTTTGTACTTGTACTCTCGATTCTTTCTAGTCCAACCACTTCTCATTCTTGACAATAGGTACATTACGGAATAATACTTTGCTAGACTATAAATCTCTTGTACTGTTCCTTTATTGTCAATTCTTGTTCTCACATTCAACCAGTACAAGAATTCACAGTCTTCCGCTGCAATACTATTTAAGGACTAATCTGTAAAAGATCCTAAGGGCTTTTTCTCAGCCCAACACGATTGACTGACCCTGGTTCGCCGAAACAGCACGTGTGACAGGTTTCGCGCGACCAATTCATCGCGCAGCACTGTTTGTTTTGAAGTCTGAAAATGGTGTTAATAGCGAATTCGCTCGAATGACCAAGTCTGACAAGAGGCCAGCCTGACTAGAGGCCAGGCCCTCAGATATCAGCGTAAAACACGCTGATTAGGCTGATTTTGTAGCTGTGATTTTCGTTTTCCCTGAAAATTCAGCATATGCTTCAATTTTGCACTGAAATTTCAGTATAACCTACCGTACCTTGCCACACTGACCATTTTGTGTGTTGCTGTACAAGTAACACTGACGAATCAGTATAGTGACGTGAGTCACACTGAAACGGACTTGATCGCGTGGGGGGGGGGGAGGGGGGGGAAGGGGGAGGATAGGGTACGCGTGTACAGTCTGTACCTTTCCGTGATTCACGAAACCCCACCCACACACTAGGATTTTTTCGCATGCACTGCACAAGATATCACGTGCGGGCCGAAGTGTTTAGCCTCGCTGGAACCTATCACAGCAACAACACCACACACCTTGTACTGGTGTTTCAGCTATTGTTTTGTTTTTTTTACGCTGTTGGTTCAGTTTACTTACCCGTAATCCCCCGCATATTACAACCCCCAAAATTGAACACCCATGGGTGTTCAATTACGGTGGGTGTACTCATAAATACACCAGTTATAACACCCCCCATTGTTTCTGAAATTTTGAGTACACCCGCCACCTGATTTAAACGTAAAACGAGATGCTATTTCTAGCCGCGTGCGAGAGCCCTGCTAGAGCCTGCATGACGTGGCTCACACACCATGCGCAGTGCAAAGTCTCTTTCAGTTCGATTCGATAATTGAATGTGAGGGTTAAAACAGAAAACGTGTGTTTTCTCAGTTAAAATAATGCCATTACATAACACCCATGGGTGCAGGCTTACACCCCCCCCATAATTAAACACCCCCTTGAAGAGAGGTATTTATCAGTACACCCTAGGGTGTACTATGCGGGGGATTACGGTATGATTTTTACACTGGCAAAATCAGTATAAAAAAGCTGTGAACGCTGATTTGGACACCTCGTTGGCCGGGGCACGCTGATCCATCAGCTACCCTCAAACCAATCTGAGGGCCTGCTAGAGGCCGTAGGAACACGCTCTTACTACCTCGTACTAAAAAGTAACAATGCCACTTCACACTTCATACTCTATTAACATTGTCAACGCCAGGGATCGCGGCGTCGAGCCTGAAGCTTCACTTTAGCCCAAACAGGCGCCCCGGCCCGGCCTGTGCACAGAGCTCCACCAGTGCCGACACTCGGCCGTAGAACACCCTCAGCTCGTACAGCAGCGGAGGGCCAGAGGGGTGGTACATACAAGCTGCTATCCTAATTGCTACCATATTTAGAGTCACAATCCGAGTACTTTCTTACACCGCATTATCCACGTCGTTGACATCAGGGATCGCGACATCGAGCCTAAAGTAGCTCCGCCAACTCGCCGGAACAGGCGCCCCGGCCTGCACACAGAGCTCCAGCAGCGCTGGCACTCGGCCGTAGAACGGCCTCAGCTCGTGCAGCAGCGGAGGTCCAGAGGGGTGGCGTGTGTGGTAGACAGGCACGGGGGGGAGCAGGTCGGCCAGCACTGCCGGCTGCCACCCGTGCTGGCCGTGGCGCCACTGCTGCTTGGACGCATTGCACAGGCGCACCTGGGAGCAGGGAGGACAGAGAGAAGGGGGATGTGAGTTGAGTTGTAGAATTTCGTCAACTCGTGGGTTAAGGTAAGCAAGGTTGCTTCCAATAGGGCACCTGAAAAAATGCATGAGAGCAGCGTGAGAGTATGTTGGTGAGTGAGGCAACAAATGACAGATCAGATGAGGCAGATAGGGTGGGCAGATCCTGATGAAATTACACTCCCCCTATGCCCTTTCCCCTTCCCCCTTCGCCCTTACCCCTTTGCCCTTCCCCATTCGCCCCCCCCCTTAGCCATTCGCCCTTCGCCCTTCTAGCACCGAATGCTCTCACCTTGTGCCCAGCCGCACCCACGTGCACCTCAGGGCAGTACCCGCACACCATCACAGGGTACTTTCCCATCACCCTCTCCACTCCCTCCCTCAGCCCCTCCCACTCCCTCAACGCCTCCTCTGCCATCTCCCTCACACTCCCCTCCCCCTCTGTACCTTCTTCCCCATCTTCTCCCCCCTCTTCCTCCTCCTCCTCCTCATCTACCTTCCCTTTCTCCTCCCTATCCGCCTCTGTGTCGCTTCTCCTCTCAAACGCTCTCTCAACTCTGTCCCGATCGCCCTCCTCCTCCTCCCTCCCTCTCCTACCCTCCTCCATTAACCCCCTCCACCCCCCCTCCCCCCGCCTCATCTTACCCTGAGACCCCGCATCCCACACCACTTCCGCCCCCACTGCTTCCATCTCGGCCATCTCTAGAATCGCCTTCACCACATCTCCCTCGTCCTTCTTATAAACTCCCCTGCTAGACACTCCCGATGCCGATTCGCTCTCCAAGCCTGCCACCCAGGCCCGGCCGGTGCCGAGCCTGGTGGTTTGCACAGGTTCGGTTCGGCGCACGGTGCGAAGGCCTGGCAGGTCTACACCCGCCTGAGGGGAGGGGAAGTGGAAGGGAGGGAGCAGCAGAAATGGGTGGTGGAGGAGAGTGGATGGGTGGTGGACGCTTGTGTGTTGGGCGCTCAGCAGACTTGTGCGGTGCGTGTGTGTGCTCATGCTAGCAGCAGCGACGGGATGGGTGGTGGTGGATGCTGGTGTGTTGAGCGCACAGCGCCACAGCAGACTTGTGCGGTGCGTGTCTCGCCTGATTCTTGCAAGGTGCTTCACACACAGCAGCGCGTGGGGAAGCGCGCTAGAAGGGATAGTCTCGTGCGAATGTGCGATTAGGGGGGGGGGCATGCAGGTTGGTGGGAGACCCACCTGCACCCCGTCTGCAGGGGGGCAGGGCGGGAGGGATGGGAGACTTGAAAACTCGCCTGAAAACTCACCTGAAAACTTACCCAAACTTGAAGACTTAAGTGACCAACGTTGTTGAGCCTGAAGAATTGCCTGAACATGGAATTTGTCGAACCTGAATAATCACCTGAACGCACAGCTCTATGACAGCTGCGATCCTCTCCACATCGAATCTCGCCTCATGCGGCACACGGGGACGCAGACGATCGGGCAGGTGAAAACTTTCGATGACCGGGAGGATGTCAGAGGGAGTGGCAGGAGCCCATTCATGGCTGCCCATACTGCCCGACCGACTGTGCCGCTTTGGACCTTTGCAGTTGCGGATGGCGTGCGGGTGGCGTGCAATGGAGACCTCCGCACACAGCCTGAGGGGCGGGGGAAGGGGAGAGCCACGAGAGAGGGCAACGGGAAGAAGGTGGGTGGAGGGGTGTGGAGGTAGAGGGGTGGTGAGAGTGGTTTCCACAGGCCATACAGCCGTGGATGGTGTGTGTGTGATGGGCAGTGGAGACCTGCGGGCACAGCCTGGGGGGATGGGGGAGGGGTAGTGGAGGGAATGGGATCTGCGAGAGGCTGGGGATGGTGGAGGGAGAGGGGAGACCAGATTGGCCCCTGTAGAAGTGGTAAAGGCCTTGCATTGCAGGTGCCTTTTGAGAATTCTCAAAAGCCGGGTGCGGATCGCGCAGGGGTGGCGAGCAATGGAGACCCCTAGACATAGCCTGGGGGGATGGGGGAGGGGGAGAGACGGGAGACGAGGCAAGGAGGCTCAGGTGTGGGAGGGGAGGGGGGGGGGCGGGGTTGGAGGGAAAGGGGCGGTTAGAGTGGTTCCAGGAGGCCTTAGAAATGCAGATGGTATTGGGATGGCGGGCGATGGAGAGCCCCTGCGCACAGAGCAGAGAGCTTGGGGTGGTCGTGGGGAGGCTGGAGACGGGACAGCAGAGAGCAGAGAGCAGAGAGCAGAGAGCAGAGAGCAGAGAGCAGAGAGCAGAGAGCAGAGAGCAGAGAGCGGAGAGCGGAGAGCGGAGAGCGGAGAGCAGAGAGCAGTGAGCAGAGAGCAGAGAGCAGAGAGCAGAGAGCAGAGAGCAGAGAGCAGAGAGCAGAGAGCGGAGAGCGGAGAGCAGAGAGCGGAGAGCGGAGAGCGGAGAGCGGAGAGCAGAGAGCAGAGAGCAGAGAGCAGAGAGCAGAGAGCAGAGAGCGGAGAGCGGAGAGCGAAGAGCGGAGAGCGGAGAGCAGAGAGCGGAGAGCGGAGAGCAGAGAGTGGAGAGCGGAGAGGGGAGAGCAGAGAGCGGAGAGCGGAGAGGGGAGAGGAGCAACAGCAGCGGAGCATTGGGCACAGCGCCCTACCTGCATGCATGCGCGGGCACGGCCTGCAGCAGCATCGGAACGGCCTCTGTGACAGCGGGACACCAACAGCAGCAGCAGTGGCCCTACCTGCAGGCATGCGCCGGCACGGCCTCCAGCAGCCTTGGGAGCTTCGCCTGGAGGGACAGCCAGAGCGAGAGGGTGGAGTGCGCCACGCGCACCAGGCGGGGGACCAGCAGCCCGTTGTCCGGCGCGCCAAGGGGGGGCGGCGGAAGCCCCTTCTCCGCCAGTTTCCGCCTGCGCGCCGCGTCCCCCTTCATCCTCTCCACAGCGTGCCCAAACCTCCGCCTCTTCTGCACCAGCGTTTCCCCCAGCGCCCCCTCCGCTTCCGCCTCCGCGTTCGCCTCGTCTTCCGCCCATCTCCGCCCCACGCGCACGCGCAAGGCTTCCGCTTTAGACCCCCCTATGCGCACCCACCCTTGCGCCTCCCCCTGCGCGTCTCTCCTGTCGCGCCCGCGCTCATTCCGCAATTCCTGCGAACCCTCCGGTAACTTCTCCGTCCCCCTCACCTCCCGACTTTCCCCTCCCTGCAATCCGCCTCCCCTTGGTCCGCGCTTCTCCCCACCCCCCTGCTGCGCGGGCCTCGGTCCGCGGCTTCCGCCCGCTCCGCTTTCCGCTGATACCACACCGCGTTCAACCCTCCTGCTAGCGAGTGTGATATTTCCGATAGGAGGAAATGAATTCTCGCTGCCAGAATTTCGGACAGAGCAAGCAGAAAGGAATCTGCCGGATCTAAGTGAAGGGAAGAATTTCGAGGTCAGTCGAGGCGCGGAGGATTGGCTGGATACACGTGACAAGCGGGCGAGTAGAGAGGGGCTAGAGGAAACGAGTTGCAGACACGACATTACTTGTCCTCGCTATAAGGAGACAACGGAGGGTAAAAACGTGGTCTGAGTTGAGTGTCCAGCAAACCAGGCGTTAGCGACTTAGGGAGCATGCACTCCTAAAGCCCGCGCCTAGAATGGCAGATTCTAAAAAATACTGAACTTGAACAGAAGGGAAATGGGCATGGGGGAAACGGAAACATCGCCAAACTGGCTTGTCGCGCTATCGTTTCGAAAGCTACTCGCCAGCATCTAGTTGGGTAAAAACACTCGCTTCAGCTTGCAAACCACCCTGTTCGATAGGCAGACACCTCCTTGCAGGGCTAGCATTAGGCTAGCGTTTGGAGGAGGGTTCGGGGAAATCACTGAAGGGCTACCCCCCCCCTCCCGAGGTCGGAAGCAGCTCAGCGCGAGATCGGAAGGAGGGGGTCGTCTCGACGATGTTGCAACCCCTCCTTCCACCGTCGTCATCGTGGGCAGGGTAAACATTTTTACGCCGCTCCCCACGTGAACCAGGGTAAATCAGGGGTGAAAAAAAACCCATACATGGTTTGGTTGTGGGAGGAGGGGGACTTTTTCAGGGCAGAGATGGGTGAGGTTGGAGCATGGGCCACGCCACGAAAACTTTCGTGGGGTATGGAATGGGTATCCCCTCCAATATGGAACCCTAGCCTATCCTTTGGCAGACCCCCATTTTAGCGGTGCGAGGGCTGGGCTGGAGCTAGGCTAAAACCTGCGCGTGTGAGAAGGTACTTGGAGCTTTCGGGAGGGATGAAGTTGAGGGGTTAACGTAGCGTTCGGGCAGACCGTGGAAAAAAACCCAAAGTCGAAACAGCCACGACGATTCCACGGAAGGGCTTGCCTGCCTATCGAACAGGGTTACTTGCGTGTTGCGAAGGTTCGTGGGCGTGTTACTTGCGTGTTGCCGAGCGCAAGTGCGACGTTTGGCAGGCGTCGTACATGTTTCCGACGCATGGGTGGCGAGAAATAAGTCTGGCCCAGGTTTGGAAGTGCCAGAGAATATTTCGGCCAATCAAGCAGCTCCACGCTTGCACGATATGGTTGGTCGAAATTGGTCACATCCACGGTGGTTCGATAGGCCTTTTATCTTCGATAAGTGGACCCGACGTGTACATTTCGGTGCAAGCTGACATAGCTTTGTGTATATGAAGTGGTATATTGTGTAGCGTGAATGGTAATGTCGTATGTATTATTTTGTTGTTAAAATGCATGACGATTGGTTTGTATAATTTTATATTTACCAATTACTAGTGATATGATGTGGTAGTGGAATTTATTAGTGGCGAACATTGTTGCAGGTATTGCATGAAAAAAAAAAAAAAAAAAAAAAAAACTTGCAGCACTGCGTAATGTATAACTTATAAGCCACGCGACAATCGTGCTGTGTATGGTAAACCCAAACGAAACACTCGAGTGAGCTTACTCACAAGGGCGTTGCCTTTCGAGGGCGGTTGGCACTTCTGCTGGAAGTGCCTGAGAATCTACGGTACATGTAGAGGAAGGATCATGATCGGTTGATCCTGGCCGTTTAATCTAATCTGTATGGACCCTCCCACACCTGACAGCCACCTGCCAGGCGCTGACACGCTGATTGGTTGCGCGTGGACCCTGGCACCAACGCAACGAGCAACTGTGGTCGGTCAAGGTTTGTCCTGGTGCATACACGGAGGTTGCGTGTAATTGTTGCAGGTGACGCAAAGTTTGCCTGCGCGAAACAGAACAGGTGGGTTCGCGACCTGTAATTCGATGACAAAAGGGCGTGTCAGGTGTTTCCGCACGATGCCTCCATTTCGCGCATTTGTTCGCCGAGGCGCTATTGTAATTTTTAGCGGAGACGACGCGGAACCCTGGGTTGGGTGGGGTGTACACCCCACCTGTACAGGTGGGGCGGGCATGGCTGACGTGGCTAAGGTCACGACAAGTTCCAGCTGGCGAGTAGCCCCGTCCGTCAACCCGTCGCTAGTGAGAGCGACGACGACCCTTGCTAGTGCATAAGGGCAGGATTGGTTGACGTATGGCAAATGTCTCCGCATTCGGTTTTGGACCAATGGGAACAAGACTGCTACCCTTGGTCGACCTCGCCCATATCTCTTCGTGTGTGCTTTCAGAACTGTGCGGTGTGGTGCGGTTTATCATGTTTTGAAATGCATTGAGAACTACTCTCAACAGTTTGGTTGGGTTCAAATCAATAATGTTTGGTCCCATTTCCCTTACCCCCATCCCCTCCCTCACCCTTTCCCCAATCAACCAGTCAAGGGGTACTCTTCTTCGACTGGCCATTCTCCCATTCTGGAAATTTGTCTCCCAGTTTACTCTCTCGATCGGCAGATTCCCTCCCAACTTCCCTTGATATTTTTCTTGGCCCGCTGATGTGTCCTATCCTGCAACGATCGATATGTTAGTCTCCAGGTATGTGACGGGCGCGGGTGGAATTATGCATCTGTTTCTTGTATTTTCTCCTTTCACAACCCTGTGATGCTTTTTTGTGTTCTCTGTTTTTTAAATCGAGAGAAACATTGTTTTATTGCGCATCACCTCTTTAGCTTGCTGGTCATTTCAATCCACGTCTCTGGAAATTCGTAAATTATGTTCAGCTGCACCCTTTGACTGAGCTGTCTCTGCATGTATATACGTCTGCAGGTTTGCTTTCGAAGAGGTCCGCTGTTCTCCAAACATCTAGTCGTACTCATTTTGCCTGGTGAGGACTTGTTTGATGGCTGCACGCTTAATCTGGAATCCGGTTTGAACATTGTTTGTGTTCCTGCAGATATGCAGAAGGTTGCTGAAAAGGGTCCCCTCTACCAGGCCGAATCTGCATGTAGGGGCTGTAGTTGGAGTGATTGATAGCAGCTTGGAGTTGGTGTTCTGTACGAATTTTCTGTAATACAGAAGTTGTTTGAGCAAATACCCTGCAACGCTGCTGGTATCTTGTGCAGTATGGAGGATGACAGCAGACCGTTCAAGTGTGACCTCTACCCCCAATGTGTAGCTAAGTTCAGGCATGCACATGAGAAAGCACGGCATATGAGGAGAGGACAGCACAAGAACATAGTGGAAGAAGCAGCATCAGAGGGGTTGCGCGATGACTCCAGCCAAGGAGGAGGTATAGAAAGGTTACGAGCAGCTGCTGACCGTCTTCTCTCACGAGGCACCAAGCGCGCACACTCTGAAACGCAGCCTGGGCCGAGCCGCTTTGACGAGCAGCCCGACGCAGCTGTGTTTGCCCCAGAGTGTGATGCAACTTCGGTTGACATTAATGCTCGTGCCTACCGTTTCATTCGCACAGAAGCTGGAGGATCCGGCCTTTCGCGTGTAGATATCACGGAACTAATATCCATTCTCGTCGAAGTGATACGCAATCCAGGACGGCTAACGCTCAAGTCGCTGGCAGAATTCGACAAGTACGAAGAGGCGCAATTAGCCGGGGCCAATATCGAACCGTTTGAGCAGGTCGACCTCACAAAGGCGGGAGATTTGAAGGACGTGATCTTATGGCGGCGTTCGGCGCTTACGTGCGTTACAAGCTTGTACGAGAACGTGGCGAACGTGCAGGGTTTCGTTGTGCGCCCTCCCAAAAACTTCAACCCGGCGAAACGGATCTACAAGGGTCCTGAGACGGGGAGTTGGTGGCGGGAGGTTCTGCGTGAGCTGCCAGCTACTGATCCAGGCAAGGTCGTCGCCGCGGTGATCATCTATTCGGACGAGATGACTTTGACGACTGATAGCGGACTCAAGGGTTGGCCGGTGTACATCTCACTAGCCAACATCGCACCGGGGAATCGGTGGAGACCCCACGGCCATCGAATCTGTGCTCTCCTACCCGATGATGACGGGAGTTTCTTCACGCATGCGGACAAAGAACGGCGGCGGCTTGAGGTGTTTCAAGAAGCGGTGGATCTTATCATGGCGGAATTGAAGAAGGCCCAGAACGAGTAAGTCATTAAACGTTTGTCCTTTAATTGTTTGGTCCTCATTTGTTCATTGTTTAAGATGATTCACATTCATTGACCGAATCGGTGTTGTCATGCATGCAGTGGCGTAGATCTGACGGACCCATACGGCATTCGCCGTACGGTCTTTCCGATCACCTACGCGTATATTGGCGACTACCCGGAGCATTGCAAAGTCGCGGGCACCAAGTCCGGCATCAAGACTCGTTTTCCTTGCCCTAGGTGCTCCGTTCCGAAGGAGGAGTTGAACAACATGGCGTACCCGCTGGTGTATCGCACAGAGGCATTACAAAAGGAGCGTGTCATGGAGATGGAACGCGAGACGAGGGTTACGGCACGCAACGACTTAACAAAACTCTACAGTACACACTTCGTTAAGGTAATTGATATTTTTGTTTTATTCAAGCAATCGTAAACGATAAGTCATACTTGTTTTCATTTCAGTAGGTCGGGACCCTAACAGATGTGCGTCTGTGTGTATATGTGTGTGCGTATGTGTGTGTGCGTGTGTGTGTGTATGTGTGTGCGTATGTGTGTGTGCGTGTATGTGTGTATATGGATGTGT